ACAGCACGGTTCAAACTTACACGAGCACCATCGAAATCTACCTAGAGCACCTTGGAAACATACCTCTAGCTTAGTCGGAGCATACCTCAAGCATAGTGGAACAATGACTACAGCACGGTTCAAACTTACACGAGCACCATCGAAATATACCTAGAGCGCCTTGGAAACATACCTATAGCTTAGTCGAAGCATACCTCAAGCATAGTGGAAAAATAACTACAGCACGGTTCAAACTTACACGAGCACCATCGAAATCTACCTAGAGCACCTTGGAAACATACCTCTAGCTTAGTCGGAGCATACCTCAAGCATAGTGGAACAATGACTACAGCACGGTTCAAACTTACACGAGCACCATCGAAATATACCTAGAGCGCCTTGGAAACATACCTCTAGCTTAGTCGGAGCATACCTCAAGCATAGTGGAACAATGACTACAGCACGGTTCAAACTTACACGAGCACCATCGAAATATACCTAGAGCGCCTTGGAAACATACCTCTAGCTTAGTCGGAGCATACCTCAAGCATAGTTTAAAAATAACTACAGCACGGTTCAAACTTACACGAGCACCGTCGAAATATACCTAGAGCGCCTTGGAAACATACCTCTAGCTTAGTCGGAGCATACCTCAAGCATAGTGGAACAATACCTACAGCACGGCTCAAACTTACACGAGCACCGTCGAAATATACCTAGAGCGCCTTGGAAACATACCTCTAGCTTAGTCGGAGCATACCTCAAGCATAGTGGAACAATACCTACAGCACGGCTCAAACTTACACGAGCACCATCGAAATATACCTAGAGCGCCTTGGAAACATACCTCTAGCTTAGTCGGAGCATACCTCAAGCATAGTGGAAAAATAACTACAGCACGGTTCAAACTTACACGAGCACCGTCGAAATATACCTAGAGCGCCTTGGAAACATACCTCTAGCTTAGTCGGAGCATACCTCAAGCATAGTGGAACAATACCTACAGCACGGCTCAAACTTACACGAGCACCGTCGAAATATACCTAGAGCGCCTTGGAAACATAACTCGAGCAAGGTCGAAGCACACATCCAATGCGATTGAAACATGTCTCGAGCAGTGGAAATATAGCAAAACTTGTTCAAACACGAACTAAAAGGACCTCAAGCCCAGTGGAAACGTATGTTTTGAAATTCGGTATCTTCTGATTGCGAGGGATAGCGTCGATTGTTTAAAACTTTGTCACAGCTCAGTCCTAATTCGTGCTGTGAACTCCGACATCTCATCAAACAAGTGCCGACAAAGCTCAGTTTTTCCTCTATTTTTCATCACCATTATGAATCCTAGGTCCGTCATTTTTGTAAACAGCCATTTTTGTTTAAAAATAGAATGGTTTCCGTGCAGTAGTTTTTATCTAACCGTCAAAAACAGACCAAAATTAGTCACGGTTCCGCAGTTTTAATGGCTTCTATGTTTCAATTCTTCGTTCACAGAATCCGCAACCGAAACAAACTTCGAAGGATTTAGTAGTTTTTACGGGTTACGTGAAACCAATATACAGGTAGAAAACCTTCTAATCACAGGTCGATCACTGACGAAACCTAACTCGAGCGCAGTTGTACAGCAAAAACAGCTTTTAGTTGTCGTTACTTTCGTAAAAAAAATGACGGAAAATTTGTGTCCAGGATTATTTTTTTTCTCCAGTGTTTCGACTTTTTAACTAGTCCTTACTAGCGAGATATTTTAGATTACTTGGAAACGGTTTTGAGTACAAGAAAAATATTTTACGCATTGAGTGGGAGAAAGATTTTTCCATTTTCGCAAAAAATTTTCGCGCGGCGCTATTTATCAGCCAAGTATCGTTGCTTGATCGATAAAGCTGACTTCGAAAAAATTGCAAATGGAAAAAAGGCTCTTTTTTGACATGGTTTCTGCAGCAACTGACCCGGTAGAGAGTAGTTTTTGATATACTAAATGTAGACCGAAAAAGATAATTATACATTTTCATATACTGTCTATGGAATGTTTCTCATACAAATATATAATTTTTTTCCAAATTTGTCAGCGAGTTTTATAAGTATGTTATTGTTCCGACTTTTGATACGAAAATAATGGACTATTTGTGCTCGGGGTGGGCTTTTTTTTCTTCAGACAAATTTCGACTTTTTAACTAGCCATTTTTGACGGAATTTTTAAATATCATTCAAAAGATATTGTTGCCCTGAGCTAAAATTTGAAAAGATATTTCACCTGTGATCATTTTTCGTAAATTTATGGGGGTTTACAGATTGCCATTTTGGGCAATTTGGGACAATTAACGCGCGATATATTTCGCGCTATTAACGCGTAAGCGGAGAGTTAATCTGTCTTAAAATTGTTCCAAATTGGTTGAAAGAAGTTTATTTGCCATAATTGATTTGTTACAAGGAGGGAAATCTATCTTTTTCTTTTTTATATGGCTTGTGGGGTGAAGATGATTTTTACAAAAAGTTCAAGTTTTAGAAAAAAAAATTTCATTTTATTTTAATACATTTAATTTTTTAATGTTATTACAGCTCCACAAAACCTTAAAAGGCAGTCGGAACATTCAGGGCTTCGTCACAAAGACAATGTTGGTGCCAAAATGATAATCTTGCAGTTTCCATAGATGGGAATTTTTTTACTAGTATTTTTGTTGGCGACGCCTTAGCAAAATTTTTAAAGCAAAATTTCAAATCGATTAATTTTCCAAATTAACTTTCAACAAAAAATACTTGTAATGTGTGTCCATAACATAGTACTGAATCTCGTTTTTTAGATAAATGCCTTTTTCATTTCGTGTCCATAACATAGTACTGAATCTCGTTTTTTAGATAAATGCCTTTTTCATTTTTGTAAAAATGCTATTCCGCTTTTACATTCGATAATTAAAGTTACGATTCATAGAATTTTCAGACCTGTAATTTTTATGTGCTGGTGGAATTTTACAGAAGTAAAACGATTCGCAGTTTTTGATTTTTGATATACAAAAACTGTTTGATTTGCGTCAAACGGCTGGCAAATTGCACCATGAAGTTTCTGTTTAAATTCCATGTAACTTTGTTCTTCCCGCGTTTTGCTAGTCATTCCAATTTGAGAAAAATGTGTTTGTATTTTCGAAATGAGTTGGTTTTGTCCGGATAATTCAAATGCACACGGTGCATCTAACTGCTTACTGTTGAGGCAGCCCATAGGAGTGGTTGAAATTATAGAACAATTTAAATGTCTGAAAAATTAGAAGTCCTTCGTGTCGAAATAGTTTATCAATTAGCGATTACCCAGCATACATAGTCATTTTCGCATTTCAACGTTCTGGTTGTATATCAAAAATTCAAATGCACACGGTGCATCTAACTGCTTACTGCACACGGTGCATCTAACTGCTTATAATGTTAAAACTCGAACATTATAAATTAGTGGCAATTTTCATTACATGAAAGCCACTTAGGCATCAAAAACAGTGACAGAAAAATCCATAGAAAAAAAATGAAAAATTGTATTTTGAAGTATAAAAAATTTCTCATTCTTTTTCACCATCATTAAGGAAAATGAAGGACATGACTACCCAGGTTGTAGTCCACAGAAAAAAAATGCTTGTCATACAATTTCATACCTGGTGTTTATGGAAAAATGCGTATCACTCCATTTTCATAGAACAAAATTGTACAATAAGCATGTTTTCAATCGCATCGTTTTTTTCCCGAAAAATATCTTAAATTGGTTTAAAACTCGAACATTATAAATTAGTGGCAATTTTCATTACATGAAAGCCACTTAGGCATCAAAAATAGTGACAGAAAAATCCATAGAAAAAAAATGAAAAATTGTATTTTGAAGTATAAAATATTTCTCTTCTTTTTCATAGCAAATTGATAATGTATGTCTATGACGTTGTCCAGATTCAGTTGTTCAGCCAGAAAATCAAAACAAGTCACAAACTAGTGTTTTTCTTATTCGGACAATTTTTGTTTCGACTTTCGATACGAAAGTAACGGAATATTTGTGCTCGGGGTGGGTTTTTTTTCTTCAGACAAAATTCGACTTTTTAACTAGCCATTTTTGACGGAATTTTTTTATATCATTTGAAAACTATTGTTGTCCTGAGCTTAAATTCGAAAAGATATTTCACCTGTGATCATTTTTCGTAAAGTTATGGGGGTTTAATGATTGCCATTTTGGCCAATTTGGGACAATTAACGCGCGATACATTTCGCGCTATTAACGCGTAAGCGGAGATTTAATCCGTCTCAGAAATTGTTCCAAATTGGTTGAAAGAAGCTTATTTGCCATAATTGATTTGTTACAGGGAGCAAAATCTTTTGTTTTGTACTTTATATGGCGTGTGGGGTGATGATTTTTATCGAAAAATTTTCAAATTTTAGAAAAATTTTTCATTTATTTTATTTCATTTAATATTTTTATGTTGTTTATGTTATTACTGCTCCATAAACGTTAAAAGGCAGTCAGAACTTTCAAGACTTTGCCCTGATACGAGCAGTCTTGTTGTTTTTGTTTTCCGTATGCTAGGATAAACATAAATTCTTATATAAACAGGCCTCTTTTCTCAAACACCAAAACTTTGTAGCAATGTTCAACAAGTTGCGTTATTAGCATATAACTCTGGCTGAAAATGATAACTTCAACTGACATTGCTATTTTCACCAAACGCTGTATATCTGTGTGGTAACTGCTACTCACACTCTTGGTTTTCTTGTAGAAATTCTTGGTTATTGTGCTTTTGGATGAATGACAAGTTTTCGAAACACGTTTTTTATGCATTTTCATTTATAGAAAAAAGCTTATCATACAATTTCATAGAGAAAAAATTGTTAATCATTCCTAGAGAGTGGCAAAAAATGCGTGTTTTAGATTTTCATAGTATGGAAAAATGCTTTAGTTATTTTTTCATACAATTTTTTTGTTCCATGAAATTGTATGAAAATGTATGATAAGCATTTTTTGTGAACCCGGACAGTATTATGCTATTTAATATTGTTTTGTTTAGGCTCGTGTCCTCTCTAGCGTATACTGGTGTTGTACTGGCCACCACTGAAATATTCAACGAACTTAGTTCTACCGACGAAAAATGCAGTAAGTAAAAATTCTTTCAAGTTTTTTTTTCAGGTATAAATTTAGCCATAACATATATTGGGCTATTTCTTGTCTGAGTCATTATTCCATCGACACGGGAAAACAAGCACTAAAACATTTAATTATGACCAGTTACAGTTGATGAGGTAACTAGCCCTAATACTTTTCAACTACTAGCACTAACTAGCACAAAACTTTAACTAGCCATCGTTCCGGCTTTTGATGAAAATGATTGACTATTTGTTCTCGCGGTGAATTTTTTTCAAGCAAGTTTTTTTTAATTCGCCATTTTCAATAGTATTCACTTTTTAATTCGCCATTTTCAATACTATTCTAAAACTATTGCTGTCTTGAGCACAAAAAAGGATTATTTTTGGGTAACTACGGGGATATATTTTGCGTTAATAAAGTGTAAAGGGCAAACTGAAAACTTGAAACACGCGAAACAATTGAAAAAAATTATCAGATTGAAAATGGATCAGTTTGAATTTTAAAATAGAGCGCGGAGGATAAAATGTGGCACAAGTTCAAAACAAGTATTTTATATATCCTATTGTATCTCTTGATAATAACCACTGCAAAATCCTTATAACCAACCAATCATAATCCATTCTGAAACTTATATTAAATTGTAGAGCTGAAACTATTTATAGTTTCAGCCAGAGAAGAAATAACTTAACTTAGAAAAAAGTTGCTCTTCCTCAAAAATACCAGTATATACTAGATCCATTGAGACTAGGAAAAATAAGAGTAAGATTAAGATCGGTATTAGACTAAAACTTGCAGGAATCTATACGGCCGAAAGTTAGATAGCGTGACGAACAGACGGTGTGCCCTATCCGAAATTACTCTATGAGAAGGCCACCCTGGGCCTAACCTCATATGTTCAATCTCAATCATTTAATTCAAGAAAACAATGCATGCTTTTTTTCTAAAGCTTCCACTGAGAGATTGACTTTTTATCTCTACTTTCTCGAGCCTTATATCAATCTCATCTAAACAAGTAAACGTATAAAGTTAAAAAATATATTAGTTTTAACTGGTTAAAGTTGGGTCCATAAGGCGCAAAAAGCATAAACAAAAAAAAGTTAAACCTATTTTTGTCAAAACTCTGGAAAACCAAGCAACCTTTGTTTTGCTGCATTAACCCAACCGTTACTGTTCAATTTTTAGGAACTTCTTTGTTTCAAATAAATAGAAGCTTCTGCAAAGAGATATGAAGTTGTTGGTTGAGCTACTCGTTAAAATATGAAAATGCGTGGAAATCAGTATTAACACGTTAACCCGGATTGACGTTCCATAGAAGAAAAATGCTTATCATACAGTTTCATATATGAAGTCTATGCAAAAATTGCTTATCATAGAAAATTCATACAAAATTTAAAAAGTGTTTTAAAAGTTTTTAATGAACGTTTTTGGTCTACTTGCCTCTTTTGAAGCTTTCTGGTCATTAAAAAAATGATTTAAAATTTTTTATAAAAAATGCTTACCATACAATTTTTATATATGAAAGTTGTATGATATGCATTTTTTTCACAAACATTTTAATTTTTAAAAATTAAAAACTTTAAAAAATTTTAATCCCTTTTTTGTTGCAAACTTGCTTTTGTGCTAAATTATAAATTTTACGAAAAAAAAATTATGTGTTTATAAAGTAGTCCATTATGAGTTTTTTACCCATAAAAATCAAAAATCACTAGAAAGTGTTTTTTTTTGTAAACACGATTATTATCTCTTGTTTCATTTGCTAAAATAAAAACAAATTTGTAAAAAAAACAGGCGTTTTTTCCTCAACCAAAGCGCGCATAATTTAGTCCAGAACATGGCCAATTTGGCAATTTTTAAATCCCAAGAACTTTACAAAAATTAGTCGGAGGTAAAATATCTTTTTAAATTTGAACTCAAGAAGTTGATATCTTCAATGGGGTATAAAAAATTTTGTTGAAAATTCTTATTTCGATCGTCAAAAATGGACTGAAAAAAATCCACACCGAGCATAAATATTCCGTTTTCTTCAAAAATCGTTTTAAAAATAGGAGTTTTAAGGCTATGCAATGATTTTTGTCTAAAAGTTCGTTTATTTGAACCATTAAAGACAAATTTGTTTTTCACTATAGCGCAAATTAACCAGACAGAAAGCATAAAACTTAAAATTTCATACGCGTTTTTTTTTTTCAGATGCGTTGACTGTAGACAAAAAAGGATGGTAATTTTTTTTTCGTTTTATCCAGCTAATCTAATAAAAACACTGTATATCGAAGTATCCCATAGTTAAAAATTCAATCCTGATAGAACTAAGGAAAGTCTATTGAATCAGTCTTTGCGCTGCAAAGATCTAATTATAACGATATTGAAAAATAGTCAGAACTATTGTCGCTACTGATAAGTTTTTCGATTAAAGGAAAGAAGAAATTCAGCTGCTGCAATTTTTCGTGCAGACAATTTTACAATTTCTAACACTAACTTTTGGTTGTTTTGTTGCTCTAAAAATTGTATGATAAGCGTTTTCCTGAGAAATTTAATTTTCTTGCAAATTTGGGCTTTTTAAACTGATTTAAAAATTTTATGAAATTTTCCCTTATAAAGACTACAAACTCGAGGGATACTGTTTCTAACTACTACTTTAGTCGCTGAATTAGGTTTATAATCAAATCACCACTTCATAAAACTAGAAATTTTGTCTGCAAAAATTGTAAATTTTTGACTATAAGGTAGTGAAGGCAGAGTTTTTTTTCACACGGAAGAATCAAGGTTTTCAGTGGTAAATAGAATTTTTTTTCTGATTTTATGTTGAATTTTGCTTTCAATTCGTACATTTTCTGGTGTTGATTTTCTTAATGTATTCCAATACCCAATTTAATCTGCAGTTTTGAAGCCATTTATCGTATTGGTTTTCCTGAAAGTAGTTTCAGGGAAAATCCAAAATTTAAAGCAAAACACACATAACAATCATTCGATCGTCGTGAAAATGCTTGTCATACTTTTGACTAATGGATAAACTTGCAGTCATGCTAATTTTTTGCAATTTGTTCCTTCCTGGATTAGAATAAGGTTGTATGACAAGCATTTTTTCCATAATTGCAAATCGTATGAATTGCATTTTTTCTCAACTTGGGTGTTTTCATAAGCCTCCCCTTCACAGCGAAGTTTGTCTGTGAGAAATTTTTGGTGTCAATACTTTGCTGATAATTTAGTTAAGTAGCTAGGAAGGCAAGCGACACGCTATAAAAGAAACCTTTCGTTAATCGGATCAAAAACTAGCTAACAATTTTCCTTGTTCGAACCAGGACGGACTTTTGAAAGATATAGTCCGGAATTATACAGATCTAAAACTCCATCTGATTTTAAAAAAAAACTTCATCCAATGACGAAAATTTTGTTGATTACACTCATTAAAGGAACAATTTTACAACCGTAGTTTTTTTCATAATAGTGTTTTTGTCATCAAACTAAATGCTGAGCAAAATCGTCGTAAAGTTTTTCGTGGAAAACATAATTGAACCATTTGAATTTTTCACAATGATTTATGCTGGCCGACAAAAAGACAAAAACTGTTAAGATTAGAACAGCGTTTGTTGGGACTTTAAAACGCTACGCAAAATTTCCGCAATTGTTTTGCTGAGAAACATCATTCGCCTAACTTCAAACAGTTCATTTTACATGTTTTATTTCGTGTTTGTCGTCTTAAAGTGATTTAGTTTTAAAGTCATGTCGCCTTATTGTCTTGCCGTCTTTTTAATTAGCACCATGTCTAGTTTATTCATTTTAATTGTTCACAAAAGTCGAAAATTTTTTTAAGTTTGATTTTTATAGCACGTGTGTGCTTTCAAACTTGTTAATGCGTATGCAAAGAGTGGTAATAAGAACACAAATTTTTTTCTGGCTAAATACTTCTTAAAAAGCACTCTGCTCACAAAAAGCGAACTCTGTTGCCAAAAGGTAACAATCATACTCTGTGCTTACCAATTTTTTGTACGCATTTTCAGACTAATATTTTCAAATCAAAACGCCTTTTCTTGTAGCGTGTTTATGAATTGCGTGGTTTTGATTCAAAAAAATGTTTTGGTGCCGAGCAACTGCAATTCAATCGTCTAAGGACCTCTTTTTACTACTTTTATTATTTCTGGCGTTGATCTACCTAGACATCTAAACTTCTAAACTTTTAAGGACCTCGCTTTTTCATGATTGTTTCTGGCATTGATCTTCCTAGGCATCTCAATTTTTCTTGATTTTGATGCGCTTTCTGACTTGATACATTTCAGTTTGCGGAGAAACAAGTATTGATTGTTTTTGGGAAAAATTTCAAATTGCGTAAAGTCAGCGTATACTTTAAAATTATTGAGGAAAATTACCTTAACTCACCTCAAGTTTACCCTCATAAACACTTGTGAGGCAACTACCTTAAATTTTACCCTAACTGGCCTCAAGTTTACCTTCATTAAAACATATGGGCGACTACCCTAAATTTTACCTTAACGCACCTCAAGCTTACCTTCATTAAAATTTGTGGGGCAACTACCTTAACTTTTACCTGAAGTCACCGCAAGTTTACCTTCAATAAAATTTGTGGGACTACTACATTAAATTTTACCTTAAATCACCGCAAATTTACCCTCATTAAAAATTGTTGGGCAAATACCTTAAATTTTACCTTAACTCACCTCAAGTTTACCTTCATTAAAACTTGTGGGGCAATTAGCTTAAATTTTACATTAACTCACCTGAAGTTTACATTGAAAATTTAGCTTAACAGTGTATTCACTTTAACAGTTAAGGTAATTATTTTTTAGAGTGTAACTCTCACTTTCTTTGCAAAGAACTTTTTTTGTTTCTCATGTGGTAAAGTCACTAAGTGAAAAATAGAAAGTTCTTGAAGTTTAAAAAATGTTCTTTTACCTGTGTATTGTCGTGCTTGATGTTGGCAGATGACAGAAACCAACTCAATGAAAATCACAGTTTAAATCGCCTCCATATGCTAATGAAAACATTTGCAGATTAATAAATTAGATCCCGGGTTGACGCCCATGGAAGAAAAATGCTTATCATACAGTTTCATATATGAAGTCTATAGAAAAAAATGCTTATCAGAGAAAATTCATGCAAAAATTAAAAAGTATTTTAAAAGTTTTTAATGTTTTTAATGAACATTTTTGTTCTACTTGCCTCTTTTGAAGCTTTCTGGTCTTTAAAAAATGATTTAAAACTTTTTGTAAAAAATTCTTATCATTTAATTTTCATATATGAAAATTGTATGATATGCATTTTTTTCATAAACAAAAACAAAAAATTGAGGCAAAAAATTTTTAATCCTTTTTTTGTTGCAAACTTGCTTTTGTGCTAATTTATAAATTTTACGGAAAAAAAATTTTGCATGCAAAATTTGACTTTTTGTGTTTATAACGTAGTCCAGGATGAGTTTTTCACCCAAAAAGCTCAAAAATTACTAGAAAGTGTTGTTTTTTGTAAACACGATGATTTTTTTGTTTCATTTGCTAAAATAAAAATATATAAATGAAAAAAACAGGCCTTTTTTCCTCAACCATCAAAATTTTTAAACTAAAAACTATCTAGCAATTTTCAAAGAGTTACTTTTTTGGTATATAATTTCATGTGAAAATGTTAAAAATAATTTTTATGGCTAAAATCACCAAATGCAGTTTATCTGCGTGGTAACTGCCAGTTACACTTTGGGCTGTCTAACGACAAAAAATCCTTGGTTAGTATTTCGGTTGAAACACGAAATTTCGAAACAAAAATTTATGGAAAAAATGCTTATCATACAATTTCATGGTATGGAAAAAATGCTTATCATACAATTTCATAGTATGGAAAAAATGCTTATCGTTCAATTTCTTTTATGGAAAAAATGCTTGTTTGCTATTTCCATACACTTACTTTTGCCCTATGAAATTGTATGAAAGAGTATGATTAGCATTTTTTCATATATGAAAATTGTATGATAAGCATTTTTGTCAACCCGGGATAACAATTAGATTTTTAGGATAACACCTGGGAGTTCTAGTATAAGGATAGTGGAATACTAGTAAAAATTGCACTAAGTTTGATTAATTTTAGTGCAGTTGTAATCTCTTAACAAGTTAAAACATAAAATTGAGCTCCCTTCCTCCCCCACAGTTTTCATGGTTTTTCAAAATCAGAAACATTCTCTCTCTCTCTCTCTCTCTCTCTCTCCTTTCTCTATTATGTTTCAAAGAAAAGAAGAAATGACTTCACTAAATTGAGTATCTGAATTGACAAACATCTCAAAAATTCAGGCTTTGCGATTAATTTAAACAAAAACCCAATGTATAGCTCCCAGCAACTGGTCTTTATGTTGCTGTTAGTTTGGTAGAAAATATTTATTTTGTGCTGATTTAAATTAACCGGAGAAAACGCGTTAAACTTGAAATTTAAAACGCGTTTTTCTCAAATTGGGTTGAGTTAAGATGAAAATTTATGAAGACAAAACTTGCTGAAAATTTTAGCAGAATTAATATGCTGTAATTTGTTTAGCAAAATTCCTGCCCAAAATTTTTGCCCCAAAAATGGGTCAGTTTGGCTTTTCTTAGTTAATTAAAAATTACGCCGAAAACACCCAGTCGATCACAGACATAATTATATCAAAATGAGCCTCTTACGTAGCCCAACAAACTTTATTAAGGGTATTTTCTCCAAAAAAAATTGCAAATTGTTTTAAAAATATTTTTAAATAAAAAGTTGGTATTTTATATAGTAAAAACGACCTTTACTATATAAAATAATTTAATTTTTACAATGTTTTGGAGAATATACCCTTGTTCAAGTTTGTTGGCCTACGTAAGGGGCTCACTTTAATATCAACTGGGTATTTTCGGCGTAAATTTTGATGAACTAACAAGAGCCAAACTGACCCCTTTTTGGGGTAAAATTTTAGGCAGGAATTTTGCAAAACAAATTACAGAATATTAATTCTGCTAAAATTTTAAGCAAGTTTTGTCTTCAAAAATTTTCACCTAAACTCAACCCAATTTGAGAAAAACGCGTTTTAAATTTCAAATTTGACGCGTTTTGTCGGGTTAATTTAAATCAGCACTGTACTCGCAATTAGTTTTTTTAAAGAAAAAATTCGACTTTAATTTTTATTGGCTATCTAGTAAGATGTTTTTTTAGATCACATGAAAGTGGTTTCGAGTGTGAGAAAGCTTTTTTTTGCGGTTTGAGTTTGAGAAAGTTTTTTCAATTTGGAAATTTTTTTTCGTGCCGCGCTATTTACCAGCATTCTATCGTTGCTTAAGGTAAAAAACAGCTTGAGCCGACTTGAAAAAATTTGCAAATAGTATTAGGGCATACTAATTGTTCCAAATAACTCGCTACTGCATGGGAACTGTATCTTTTGTAGTTCGGAATTGCGTACTTCAAAACTGCACTTTGCGCTTTTTGTTCCAAAAAAAACTGTTAGGATGTCGTAACAAGCAGTGGGAATAATCAGTGTTTTCCCCGATGCAAACAAATATTCTTCGTCAAAATTTAGGCTTGCGGTTTTTTTGGCAATTCGACTTGAAGTTTTTCTGCTTGATCTTCGGCAGCCAATTTTTTAGTCTTTTAAAGGTTTTGAAATGAAAACAAGATGTCTGAATTTCGTTTTTTGTTGATAGTAATTTTTTAGATTCAGATCATCAACTGAATTTCTTTGCGTTTTAAAAGTTAAGAAAACTGCTACCTTATTTGCCCTGGATTTTTTAAAAAGTTATCGAGCTAAGTTGAACATTAAGCGTTAAAACATTTAAAAACTTTTTTCTGATACAAAGATCGAAAGTTGGAACAATAAAGAACAATTTTGAAATTTTCTCCTTCTTCGCTTTTTTTTCTTCTCTCACTTTTCTTCTCTCCTCTTTCTCTATTTCTCTCTCTCTCTCTCTCTCTCTCTCTCTCAGTCTCTCTCTCTCTTTCTCTCTCTCTCTCTGCCTAATAAGTGCGAAAGCGATAGCGAATGGGATGGGGGTATTGAAACTTTCCAATTTGTTGAGATAAGTAAAAATAGAATTCTCATGTATGAATTTTCGAGTGATAGCGATCCTACATTGGGGCAAAGATTCTATATGCAAGGCTGACTTCAAAAACAAATGACCAGATGAAGTAGTGATTTTAATAAGTTAATTTTTTTTCCAGTGTCGTTCGAAAATAAAATTTAATCTTAACTCACCTTTTTAAATCAGCTCTGGAATAGAGATAATGATATGCAGGAGCGGATTTAGGGGGGGACGCATTCCTCTCACGGATTTGACCCCCTGCCGACCCAAAGGGTCCCCCTTTGAACTATTTAGAGATATCAATTTTTGGTGACGGACCCTAAAATTTTTCTAAAGGAGCCTTCGGCGCCATATATACTAATTTTAAGGGGGGGAGCGCGCGCAGAAAAAAGGCAATTTTTTGGTCAAATTTTTCCAATATGTGCCTAAAAACGCTTTCATGGCCTGTTTTTTCAAAGTTTCGCCTGCGGCGCAGACGTTTCGGCCAAAACAGGGTCTTTGTAGTGCTTTGGGAGAGCTCAGAAAATCAATTTGATCGACCTAAGAAAAATCGACAAAATTTACGAAGTTTTTTTGAAAATCAGCCCCCCTCGAGAAAATCTCTAGATCCGCCCCTGATGATATGTTTGTTGGTCTGTTTCAGTGATAAAAGCGACAGATCTTGGAGACAGCTGCATAGCTGCTTGTGAACAACTAGACACAAAGGACTATGTCAGTATTCTGTGGGCATCCACCGCCGAATTCCCAGGTACACGAAATGCCATTTTGGCGAAAGTCATTTTACCCGAAAGACCGCCGAATGTCCTAAACTATTGCAGCCAATCGGCATTCCAAAATTCTAGGTTAACTGGTCTTCAACAAATCAGCAAGGATATTCGTAAAAAACTACAAAAAAAAGTTCTTTTTTTTCAGATTACAGTCTTTGTTTTTTGTGAGTGGCGCTTAGTTTTGATGTTGGTGTTAGGTATAATCGACAACAGTTGTCTGTTAAGTTATTTTCACAGAAAAAAATGAAAAAAAATATCAGAAAAATTTTTGATTTTAAAAAAATTGTTTGCCACCCGCGAAGCTAAAAATGAAGCTAAGAAGGAAGCGTTTTTCTGAAGTAAAGTAAGTTTTTGCTATTTGAATGAAAAAAGTTATAAGACTTATTTGCTCGCTTTACTTGCTCGAAATTAGACTGAAACAAAAATTTCAAACCAAATTTTCTCAACAAAGGCAATCTTTTGAAAAGTTTTTAGAGTAGTTCAAAATACAACAGAATCATGTGTAGCATGGTATATGACTTGACCCAGTCAGATGATTTGTTGCAATAACTGATTTTGCTTAAAAAACAAAAAATACTGAAACAACGAATACAGTATCTATCCATTTTCAATGATCGGAACAAAAAACGGCGTGAAAATCAGCCAGTCTGTGTTTATTTCTTTTTGAGTACTACAACACCAGCAAATGCTTCAGTATCCAGTTGGTGTGTCTTATGCATTTACTGAATCCAGCTATGGATTTGAAAAGTATGCCATAGTAACAAGATATTTAGCATTTGTTGCAAAGTTTGATTTCACCCCAGATATAGAATTAATTTTTGATCATTTTGTGCGATATACGCAGACGAAGTCATTGGATTGCTAAACATCTTCTAAAAAGACGAAACTACTAAATGGTTCTGATTGATCTGAAGCATTTATATCTTTTGGAGAAACTGATAACTACTTACGTTCTGTTGGTAACCTATAACTGATTAAAAAAGAGACATGACTATCTTTAATATAGCAATTAACATTTTGGATAGTGTAGTTCACTATTAATGGTTCGAATATTGATAATTTTTCAGTTGATATTAGAATTGAAAGAAGTCTTCTTCAATCGGTTCTTGCAATATTTTGGCGTTGAATTCTTCAAGGAATTGGCTTCTCTAATACTGATTTTTTTTTATATTAGTCAAATTGGTTTAAAAAAGTTGCCAAAAATTGTATGAGTAAATCACTTCAAAAAACTTCAAAAACTTATAATTATAACAAAAGATAAAAGAAAATTTCTTCAGTTGATGAAATTTCCAGGAGATTCAACATTAAAGAATATGATCCAAGTGAATATTGAAAATTTTTTGCAAAAAAAATTACTAAACTTTCAATCTTGAAAGAAATATAAAACCAGTAGCGGATTTAGGGGGAAGGGGGCGAGCTCAGAATAATTAATCTTCTTTTGAACAAGAATAAATGAAAGTAACTGAAGAAGATAAATGAAAAATAGCAAAATAACTACCTGCAAAGCGGGCTAAAAAGCTTACCAGAGAAGTATTAGTTACAAAATATAGATGGCTGTTTTTCAACTGATGTATTAGTTTTCTCGGAATATGGTACTCGAAATAGTAGGAGACAGACTGTTCTAATTTTGTTCTAGTAGTATTGAGGAAAACTTTTAATGCTGATGAAAGTTCTCGGTGATTCAACATCTACTCTTAAAAATGTTGTTTAGTCTTAAGCATCCTGATATAAAAAATTTTTGGATAAAATGAACAAATTCAAAATTCAGGAAAAATAAATACCATGATTATACCAGCAACGTTGAGTAAAATTTGGTAGAAGAAAATACTTTATATGAATGACAGAAACCACCTTTTGAAAATTAAATTTAAAAAATATAAAATTAGGTTTCCAATATTCTTTTCCTGAATTGAAAAAATATCAAATGAAGTTATAACACTATTGAAAGATATAGAATGTGAGACAGATCATAGGAATTGATAATTTTCAAAAAAAAAAGAATTTCACATCGAAAAAAAATAAAAAGTAAAGAAAACTGGTATTGAATTTCGATAAATTGGCATAACATTTTCTAACAATTGTAGCGAAGTCGTTACAGCTCGTCAATAGATATTTGTGTGAATAAGTTATTCCATCAACAACGATTGGAATGGTAGAAGGTTTTGTTACAAGTTCACCTCTGGCTTTTATGAATAAACTGTGTATAAAAGTTAATCGATTGTATAGAGATAGACGTAAGAATCTAGTAGATCTCAAACAACGGAGGAAAAGAATCATTCGAAGATAGAGAAATAGTCTAAAATGAGCTTAAGTTTTAGCAACAACACATGAACTATATTTTATAAATAGGGAGATTTTTTTTACAGAAAAGGTGAAATTTTTGAAACAATAAAAACAATGCTGGAAAAAAACTTCATGAAAAGTTGCTCTAAATTTTAGTTAATAAAACGGAAAGACTTCGCAAACACAAGCAAAAAAGCGAACCGAATTGTAGCTAACAAGAGTTCAAAGGTTGAAAAACTATAAAAGATAAAACTATCAAAAGAAACACGCTGCAAGGTTCAGGTATCAACCCCAACCTCCAGATTGAAAGTCACCCGGTGTTAGTCCAGGTCTTTTTTAATTTTCTTTTTTCATTTCAAAGGTCTTGAAATTTTTCCACAAGCCACAAATACATCAAATACAAGCCAAATATAAAGTTTATGAAGCAAAAGTAAAACCAGACCAAGGGCTCAGTCAAGACTGCTGAAAAATTTTTGATCGTTTTCAAATGTATTGATGCAAAAAATTATACGTAATTTTCAAACTTTGAAAAACTGAAAAAATTTAAAGATATTTTAATCACAAGTAGGGAAACAACGTTTTTGCAAGGCTTGATGGTTTTCAGGAAAAATGAGGGAAGTCTGCAAAATGGTTGAAATTGTCATTTGTTGGATGTTCATCACTTCCATAGCGTAATGCTTGGTAGAATCAGCCTCTGCGGGATATACGCCTAAATCTTGTTCTTTTTGAACCCTTTTTTGCAGACTAGGCATGATAGTTTTCGTGTAAAATTATTTTACTGCAAAAACTGTCACTATTGCAATTTTTTAAAGTCTAAGACTACTTTTTTAAAAATTGGGATCTAGTAATTTAAGCATCAAAAGCTTTCAGCATCTTTTCTTTTGATTGAGCTCCGAATATCAGATTATGCAGGTCAATTTTTAAGAAAAACTTAATATTTCCTCAAATCAGGTAAAAAATCTAAATTGTAACTTTTTCCAAAACCATAATTTTTTTTCTTCGAAAACTTTAAGAAAAGTTTCCAAAAAACAAGCAAAATTTCGAAATTGAGATTTTTCTAAGGCAATAAATTTCTATTCAAAAATTAAGGTAATGCAACAAGTTAAGCCATCTGCACAATTTTTTTCGATTCAATCCCAATACCAAGTTTAGTTGGCTATTTTTCAAAAAACGGCACAAATTTTGAAAATTGGTCATTTTCTGTTGCCGTAAATCAAAATTGGTTCAAAATGAAAATGACTGGATTTTTATTAACTCCATAACTGATTGCTTGCCCTAATTAGTAGTAAATGTTTGCGCAGGGTTACCCCTACAGCTTGTTCTGCGATCGCACACTTAAATTCAGATTTAGCACCGTTCTCAAGGATACCAAAAACTTTCCAATAAATTATTAATAGGTCAAATCGTGGACTTTTTTTGAAACCAACGTATCTTTTCTACAAAAATGAGGGCGTAGAAAATCTGAAGGCGGAAAAAAATTCGAAGCACCCGTTGTTTCAATTCAATCATCAATCACTGATTTGACAGAGTGTTTTGTAACAAACTTTTCAAAAAAAATGAGAGTTCAAAGTGAAACACGTTTAGCAAAACGAAAGCGCGTAGCTGCTTTTGCAGACAAAATTGTTGCTACTTTTCTATTGATTGAAACTTTATCTCAGATTGGGTAGGGTAATTTCAAGAAAACTTAACATTGTCACAAAAAAATAAATTAGACAATTTGTATGTTTTACTTTTTCCACAAAAAAGCGCGTAGTCGTTTTCGTTTATGCTGGGAAGATTGCTATCATCTGTACGTACGATTTATTACTCGATCACTTCAAGTTTTTTGTTAGGGTAGCTTTTGAAGATCAAGAAAAAATTCCAAGAAACGTTCAACAGTTCAAAATTCAAGCCTTTTTTAGTGCCATAACTAATTCCTACAAAAACAGATACGTAGAAGTTTATCCAGAAGAGATCCCTATAACATGTTTCGATTGAAGCCTTAATCTCAGGTTTCATACCTCAGAACTAAAAAAAAAGCAAAGAAGGGTGGAAAATCAATTGCCCCACCAAAAAAATTGAAGGCCCTCGGCTACGGTAAGAAAAAGTAGCACAATGTAGGGCACACAGGGGAGTAATCGGATATTTCCATCGGTCTTTAGGTGACTTTTGTGAAGTTGATGACGTCACCAAAGGTAGCACCAATATTTGCGGCTTAGCTTGAAACACGTGGACTTCGTATTAAGACAGAACCCTTCGCTTGTGTAAATAAAGCACCCAGGCCTGCTGGTACATGTATTGGTAAAAGAATTTCTAATGATCCTATAAAATCGCATAGTTTATTGCTTCGTTTGGATCTACAAATCATCCAGCATTGTTTTCAACAGTAACATAAGCTGAGAATTCTCTGCTACTGGAAAGGAGGAAGTGCAAAAAAATGGAATAAGTTAGGCAGGGGGTTGTTTTTAAGAGCTTAGAATATCTCATCTCAAGTTCTTTTTAAAAAGAGAAAGTAACTGAAAAAGTTTTTTAAAACGCCAAAAACGATATGTCAATCGGTACAAAAATTATTTACAGGCGGAGTAAGAGAAGCAAAACCTATACATGAAAATTTTTCAGCTGATTTATAAAATTTTCTGTCTATAGTATTCAAAACAATAAGGGATAATATTTTTTCTTATTTGCATTGATATTTTTCCAAAATCTGCGCGAGGAATTT